TCTGTTTTGGGGACATCTCTGATATCACATGGACCCACTTGCCCTGTTCACAAAAACAGCCTGAGCTGCAGGGCTGCTAATGCTCTTGGTGGGACAGGACAGGGGACATGAACAATAGCATCTTCACTCAGGTGGACAATTCTGAGGGGTGTTCTGTGTGAGGTCCTGATGGACTCTATCTCCTGTTACCCCAACACTAGCTCAATATTGCACCTTTATCCTGGCTTCCTCCTCCCTATTTCATCTCCCTGCTCTCTTACCCCTACTTCCTGGGACCATTCTCCAAATGAACTGCTTGCACCGAAGTCCCCGTCAAAGACTTTGCTTTCGAGGCAGCCTAACTTGTGACAGTGATGGGATGAAGTGACCATCAGAAGACACTTCCCAGGAAGAGAGACCTCTGTTTTTCTTTTATTCATACCACCGTCCTTTCCTTCAAAAGTCTCATAATGACATTTATGAACTAATCTTCTCCAAGTTTCTTTTTATTTGTTTTGTATTTCCAGAAAAATAACATGTGTCTCTGCTTCCTTAAAGCTCTGAATTTATTTGTAACTGAATAGAATAAGTTTACGTTTTACAGATTTAGGGTCTGCCTGGACTCAGACAGCCGTTCACTCTTTTTTTCATTTATTTGACAAACATTAGTGAGTGTAGATGCAGAATACACAAGTTTTGTGGGACATGAACCTTGTAAAAATTTTGGGAATTCTTTGAAAAAGAGAATACAAAATGACAAAGTCTTGGAAAGATCCTGTGCAGGTGAGAAGGGCTGATGTTATTATTTAGTGACTTCATGACAAATCTACCTCTAGCTGCTTACCATGTGTAGGTGCTGTTGAGGTGCTTATTAAACAGCAGCACAGAAAACAGACAAAGCTTCAAGATGAGGTGTATGTTTTCAACAACACAAAGTTTTTGACTCAATAATAATTATTTAAAAAGCAAAGGAAAGAAGATATTCCTGGTAAGTGCTCATCTCACTAAAGAATTACTGTTTGGAATGCTGACTTTGCCAGTTGGTCATACCTTTTTATAAGTTCAATCTTCAGAGCTCTGGGACTCTGCCTTCACTATGCCAAAGAATTTGATCCTTAGGATGGAAAGCTCCCCTTTCTTACCCTGACCCATCCATGGGCAATGGGATCCTTTGGGGTGTTGCTCTTGGTCTCCTGGGACCAGATGAGATCTGGGCATAGATGGAAAAGCCCTTTCTGGGCTTGCCGGGCCCCAGCCAGAGTCTTTCCATGTAGGTGCTCCATTGACCTCCTCCTTGTCTCTACTTCTGCTTCTGTGTCCTTTCTCAACAGTACATGATTGTAGGAATTACCCATCAAGATTATCTTAGGATGTGTAATTACAGAAAGAAACCTCACACTGAGATATGACCTGTATATGAAATAATAATATGTATTGCTATTGACTAAAAGTAAGTTTTTCACCATTGCCCAATTATGTCTCAATGAATATTCTATCTTTTGGTGGATAAAGGTCCTTCTCAATGGACATAAGACATTTCCCTGTGACCCTGCAGCCACCAGATATGTGAACATCTCAGTGAACATATCATCCACATTACTAATGAGCCTCCTCTTTTTTTCATAGAAAGCACAGTCAGGGGGACTTAGGTGGTCCAGTCCTCTGTGGCCTCAGTTGAAATAAAGGGAGAAATCCTACCTGTATTATTCAGCATTCTCCAGATACAAAGAACCTATATGACATGATAGATAATTAGAAAGATAGATAGAGAGAGAGATTATAGACAGACAGATGACAGGTAGGTAGAGAGATGATAGATAGATAAATGAGAGGGGATTCTTTAGGGAAATTGGCTCACACAATTATGGATGCTGAGAAGTCCCATGATGTGTTGTCCATAAGTGGGAGAACTAGGGAGTCCAGTAGTGTGGCTCAGTCCAGGTACAAAATCCTCAGACCCAAGGAGGCCCATGGTGTCAACTCTTAGTACGAGGTCAAAAGCCTGAGAACCCAGGGCCATTGGTGCAAGTCCCAGACTCAAAAGGCAGGAGAACTTGAAGTTCTGATGTCCCAGGGTAGTAGCACAAGGGTGTCACAACTCCAGAAGAGGAGTTGTTCTGTCTGGGCAACCGACTTATCAGATGGTGTCAGCCAACTTGAGGATAGACCTTCTCCACAAAATCCACTGACTCATAGGCCAGTCTCCTCCTGAAACACCCTCAAGACACACCCAGAAATAACACTTTACCAGCCACATAGGTATTCCTTAACCCATTCATCCTATAATTAACCACCACAGTACCCATGAAAACACACAGAGGCCTAGGCTTGGAGAGCGGAACTGCTATCAAGTGGACTGATGTGAGACAGTGGAAAATGATTCTTCAAACTTTAATGACCCTGACCTTGAAAATTTTAAGTGTTTCTAGATGTCAGGTGGGTCTTATAGCCCGGAGTATGGCTGTAGGCTGACATCTAATTATCCTGAGTTTAGGCAAAGAGAAGAACTAGTACAAGGTACTTAAGGGTAAAATTAGAGCAGAGACGTCATAAAAGGCATCAGGACCACTATGAGGATGTCACTTGGGTGACAGAAATATTAGAAAACTTAAAACAATATGCAAATAAGGAATTGTATCCTAATAGGAATAAAATATGCAGAAGAGAACAAATTTTCTTACTAAAATCAGGGAAAGAGCATATGCACCTGTAAGATTTATTTAAAAACAAACTATAAAATCTGCTCATTCTGAGATGTTAAATGGTGTGTATATTATAAAATATTATTATATATGCACCTAAGATTATGTATATACAATTGATGATTTATTTTTTCCTGTGGGAAGGGGCGTGGCAGGCCACCTCTGCAGCTCGATAAGTTGTCAGGGACAGTAACCTCACTGAGTCACTGAGAGCCAAGTGAGACTGTGCCCTGGACCTGAAATGGATCCCGGGCTCTTCTTCTGTGTGGCTCTTTGTCTCCTGTGGGCAGGTGAGTGCTGGTCACATGTGGGCTTCCTTTCCTGGAATTCACAAGACATCAACAGTAGCCTTTCTCCTGGGGTGACATCACTGGGTTCTGTTACTCTCTATTACAGAACACATAGATGCTGGAGTCACCCAGAACCCAAGAAACAAAGTCACAAGGACAGGAAAGGAGGTGACTCTAAGATGTCACCAGTCTGACAACCATGACCACATGTACTGGTATCGACAGGATCCTGGGCTGGGGCTGAGGCTGATCCATTACTCAGTTGGCTCTCTCAACACTGAAAAAGGAGACGTCCCCGATGGCTACAGTGTCTCTAGACCAAATATAGAGAACTTTCCCCTCTCTCTGAAGTCAGCCACCCCCTCGCAGACATCTGTGTACTTCTGTGCCAGCAGTGAGTCACAGCGCTGCATGGCCACCTGCTCTCTGCACATAAAGGGGAGTTAGACACACTGAGGTTGCCCTGTGTTCAGGAGTCCCCGCCCCTCCCTGGGAAGTCCCTGCTGCATAGGAGTCACAGAGCACTTGCCGGAGCAGTGGGCTCAGAGCATGAGCCACGTGAAACCCTACAGCCTACATAAGCCTGCAGGGCCCTAGACCTCCCTCTCCATTATGTTTTTTGTCTCCTCCTCTGCTTCTCTTTCCCTTGCTTATTT